GCTGCCCTCAAAGTCACCAGGTCAACCCAACAGGGATAGGCAGCAGTCTCACTCCGGCCATACGGCCACCCCAGCCTAGGAGCGAGGGGCAGGCACCCTCAGGACTTCCAAACCCACAGACAAAGCCCTCGGGAACCTCTCCCATTGACACTTGCTGGTCACAACGCTCTTGCTCTTGTTCTACAGGAGGCTGAAGGAAACCCCCCTGTTATGTTAACGCCCCCCCCCATCATACTAACTCACAGTGTAGACAAAGCCTATGGATTAACCTGCTGTGCTGAAATAAACTGGCCATGAGGTCAACCGCTTTGGAATCCACGATACACCTACTGTTCTGATAGGAAGCTAGCCATCAGGTCAACCCCTGTAGACTCTAAGGGTTGACCTGGTGGCCTGGAAGGAAGCCAATCACCAGGTCAACCCTTTGGGACACTTGGGTCACTCTTTAGGTTTCGGGGTAGGAGTGGAGGAGTTTCATTTTGTGTCCTGAATGAAAGATAGAAACCAGGCTAGCGCCAGTCAACACTATTGGTTTATCAGATGGCCTGAAATGCAGTTAGTCACAAGGTAAATCCCTTACCTTCTATGGGGTTTACCTGGTCTCCTGAAAGGAAGCTGACAAGCAGGTCAGCCCCTTTGCATCCTCTGGGTTTTACTGGAGTCTGGAAGCAAACGGGTCAGCAGGTCAACCCCATTGATGTCTATTGGTTTACCAGGTGTCCTAAAAGCAAACTGGCCACCAGGTGAACCACACTGGATCCATTTGGTTTACCAGGTGACCTTAAAGTAAACCAGGTCTCAGGCCAAACTTATGGCATATCATGGATTTTTCTGACCTCAAAGCCACCAGGTCAACCCAGCAGGGTGAGACAGCAGTCTCACTCCGGCCATACGGCCATCCCAGCCTAGGAGCGAGGGGCAGGCGCCCTCAGGACTTCCAAACCCACAGACAAAGCCCTGGGGAACCTCTCCCATTTATACTTGCTGGTCACAAGGCTCTTGCTCTTGTTCTACAGGAGGCTGAAGGAAACCCCCCTGTTATACACTCAGCAATGAGGACTCCCTCCGTGTGGGCAGAGGAGAGACCCAGCGCTCCAGGGACGAGGTGTCTGTGGACGTTCCCGCCGGAGCAAAGAACGTCGGCAGTCGCGACTCTGCCATAGACGGAGTCATCACCACTTGAGGAAGCTGGATTCTCCGCAACCTCAGACACCCCTTAACGCCAGTGGACGTGACCCTGACTCTGAGAGAGACCCCAGACAGAGAGAGACAGATGGGGTGTCCCTCTAGCCCAGCCGTGGCGGGATACACAAGGTAGAAGGTGGAGAGGGGACTGGGGGACAGAACCAGGCTGAAGGACTTCTGGGCTCTGATCCCCTCTCTGCACCAGCCTGAGCCCCCCAACTCAGGACTTTTTCCAGCATGTAACCAGCCAAATAAACCATGTGACACAGCTCCGGGCCAAGCCGTCAGAATGAGGGGAGGGAAAAGGGCAGCCCTGCCTCCGCCCAGGCTGGGCACAGAATCCCCCCAGCCTTCTGGAACTCTCCTGTGGGGAGAGAGCTGGAATTCCAGCCCTTTGGGACTTCCAGAGCCGGGTTCCATGGCAGTTACACTGAGAGGTGGACAGAGCGGGGAGACCCCGAAACCCCTCTCCTCTGATTAGGGGCAGAGATCAAACGGTTTCTCTCCCCACAGATTTCAGAATAAAACACTTGGTCTGTCTGCTTTCTTCTCTCAATTTTTTTAAAAGTCTGTTTTAACATATTTCAATTTTGTACCTTTTCATTTATGTAATTCCACTTAGATGCCTTCCTTTATTTTATTGTTGTATATGCATTTTTCGTCAGTGCAACTTTCTACAATTTTATTTTTCCTGTCATTTTTTTATATTTGACATATTATCATCATTGCTGTTATTATGTGTGTTGATTTATTTTTAATTTTTAATACTTGTTTGCAATTTGTTTGTTACTATTGTTAATTGACCAACTATTTTTAAGTTTATTTTATTGTATTTTTAGACTCTTGGCCAGCTTTCATTTTGGGAAGTTTTACCCTAATAGTTTTGAGACCAAGAAACTAGGCCTGAGGCTATCCTCTGAACTGTAGGGAGGTGTGGTTGTAGATGCAGCCTTTGAATTTAAAGTATTTAATTAGTGTTCCTGAAATGAAGCTGGCCTTCAGCTCAACCCTTTTAGAATCTATGGGTTTACTTGCTGTCCTGGAAGTAACTTGGCCATTAGGTCAACCCATGAGATTCTATGGGTTTACCTGGTCTCCTGAAAGCAAGCAGGTCAACCCTGTTGGATTCTTAATGTCTACCTGGTCTCCTGAAGGAAAGCTGACCACCAGGTCAACCTTTTGGGAACTTTGTCAACCTTTAGGATTCAAGGATGTGGGTAGAGGTTTAGTTGGTGTCCTGAAATAAAGGTGGACACTACGTCAACTCTTTTGCATTCCAAGGTTTTACTGTTTGTCGTTAAAGGGAGCTGACCATCTGGTCAACCCAGTAGGATCCTATGGGTTTCCCTGGTGGCTTCAAATGAAGCAGGTCATCAAGTCAACCCCTTAGTTTATATGGGGTTTACCTGGTCTCCTGAAAGGAAACTGACAATCGGGTCAGCCCCTTTACATTCTGTGGGTTTTTCTGGCGTCTGGAAGCAAGAAAATATGCAAAGAGATCACGACTCATACAAGTGAGTCCCTTATTAGTGTATTTTTTGCCAAGAAAACTCATAGTGTAAACGTAGCCTATGGGTTTACCTGCTGTCCTGAAATGAAGTTGGCCATTAGGTTAAACCATGAGATTATATGGGTTTACCTGGTCTCCTGAAAGAAAGCTGACCACCAGGTCAACCATTTGGGACCCCTGTGTCAATCACTAGGATTCAAGGATGGGGGTAGAGGTTGAATTGGTGCCCTGAAATCAAGGTGGCCACCATGTCAACTCCTTTGTATTCCAAGATTTTACTGGTTATCCTTAAAGGAAGCTGGCCATCTGGTCAACCCAGTAGGATCCTATGGATTTACCTAGTGGCTTCAAACAAAGCTGGCCCTCAGGTCAACCCTTTAGATTCTAGGGGGTTTACCTGGCCTCCTGAAAGGAAGTTGACAATCAGGTCAGCCCCTTTGCATTCTCTGGGTTTTCCTGGTGTTTTGAAGCAAACAGGTCAGCAGGTCAGCCCCACTGACATCTATGGGTTTATCAGGTTCCTAAAAGCAGACTGGCCACCAGGTAAACTACTGTGGAGCCTTTTGGTTGACCAGGTGACCTTAAAGCAAACCAGGTTCTTGGACAAACCTATGGCATACCATGGGTTTAACTGCTGCTCTTAAAGCCAACAGGTCAACCTGGCAGGGCGAGACAGCAGTCTCACTCCGGCCATGTGGCCACCCCTCATGGTGACCTCATGGCACCCTCAGGTCTTCTAAACCCACAGACAAAGCCCTGGGGAACCTCTCCCAGTGACACTTGCTGCTCACAAGGCTCTTACTCTCGTGCTACAGGAGGCTGAAGGAAACCCCCCTGTTATACACACAGCAATGAGGACTCCCTCCGTGTGGGCAGAGGCGAGACCCAGCACTCCTGGGACGAGGTGTCTGTGGACGTTCCCACCGGAGCAAAGAACATCGACAGGCACGACTCTGCCATAGACGGAGTCATCTCCTCTTGAGCAAGCTGGATTCTCCGCAACCCAACCCAGCCGGGATACTCAAGGTGCTCAGATGGAGAGGAGACCGGGTCTAGAACCAGGCTTCTGGACTTTTGGGCTCTGAGCTCCTCTCTACACCAGCCTGAGCCCCCCAACTCAGGACTTTTCCCAGCATACACCCAGCTCCCATATCCACGTGACACAGCTCCACTCAAGTGCACCTGAAGAAGTGGGTTGTGCCCACGAAAACTCATGATTCTAAGGTGCCACAGGACCACTAGTTGTTTTTAAAGCTACAGACTCACACGGTGACTCCTCTGAGACTTTTTTACAGACACAGTTTGAGATTTTCACTCAAAAATGTGGCCTTGTAGCCAAGAAAGCACATTGGGGTGCATCAGGAGGAACATTGCCAGCAGATCTAGGGAAGTGATTATTCCACTTTATTCGGCTCTGAGGAGGCCACATCTGGAGTATTGTGTCCAGTTCTCGGCCCCCACTACAGAAAGGATGTGGACGCATTGGAGACAGTCCAGTGAACCGCAACCAAGAGGATGAGGGGGTTGAAGCACAGGCCCTACAAGGCAAAGCTGAGGGATTTGGGCTTGTTTCATCTGCAGAAGAGAAGAGTGAGAGGGGATTTGAGAGCAGCCTACAACTCCCTGAAGGGGGGCTTAAAGGAGAATGGAGAGAGGCTGTTTTAGTGGTGACAGATGGCAGAACAAGGAGCAATCGTGTCAAGTTGCAGTGGGGGAGATCTAGGTTGGATATTAGGACAAACTATTTCCCCTGGGGAAGCATTGGGAAGGGTTCCCTAGGGAAGGAGGTGGAATCTCCATCCCTAGAGGTGTGTAAGTCCCAGCTTGACCAAGCCCTGGCTGGGATGGTTGAGTTGGGGTTGGTCCTGCTTTGGGCAGGGGGCTGGACTCGGTGCCTCCTGCAGTCTTTGACAGCCCTGGGATTCTCTGATTCCATGATTCTATCATTTTGTAGAATCACATCCCACCCAGGTACACAAGCAAACAATCACCTGACACCCGCCATACCCCTAGCAGACTTTTTTCCCCTTAAAGACCCAGACAGCTCGTCAAGTCCACTCTGGATGTCAATGGGGCTTTTATGCGGAAGTTGCTCAGATAGCATGAGGATGGGCAGCAGGAGAAAACCTAAGGCAGAGACATACATGGACAGATTCCAATCGTATTTACAGGAGTGTAAACCTACAGTCACTCCTCTGAATTGAGTTTGTCTGCATTTTAAACAG